TCCTTCTAATCTGATGGGAAATTTCACATCACAGCTGCCCACCATGTTCTGAATTTTAAAATCCAAAAATTTTGCAGGAAAACCCAGTTTCTGAACAACTCTTGCATACTTCCTTGCTGCCAGTCTAGATTGCTCCTCACTGGAGTAAGAACAAGATATCCACATTATTTCCTCAGTTAAGTATTACTTGTAGCAAATAGCATTAAACCACAAAACTGTCGCTGGGAAAAAAAGTCTATGTTGAGGGGGAGGGGAAGGACACATGCAAAATTTTTACAACCAAGATTAACAACTAGCACTGGTTTGCATGCTAGTTTTGGTACTAGGATCCCAAACACCATTAATGGTGTACTCACTGCTCATAAGGCAGAAAACAGTAAATTCACGTATTTCACACTCTTGAAATACTGACCCAAGTCCCTCTAATGGGATGTGAAAACTGTTTCTTAAGTTTTCAGCGTATAACAACTTTGAACTACTACTGCTAGAAAACACATACTTCTGTAAAAATCTCTAAACTGCCAAAATCCTTTGCTTGATTCAGCCCAGGTATTCAAACCTGGGTTTAACACAACTACACGGCTTTACCCACTGCTGCAGAACTCTGCTTGAGTTCTGTAAACAGCTGATGATCTGGTTGCTCCTAATGCAGAATAAGACAACTTGAACTTCAAGCGTCACCAGGCAGAGAAATCATTTTCCTGTACAGCTCTATTCATTCATCCCTGCTCACTAGCATACTCCTGCTGGACTCCTAACAGACGACTTCAGGGCAGAACTTCCCTCCTGCCCACTGGAGTGAAGCCTATGTTTAGTTTTTAATTCTTACGCTTCAATGATCATGTTAAGAACAGATCAGACTACAGAGACCAGAGACTTGGCAATCTTGGCCTGTGATGAATGAAACTATTCAGATATAGAATCACTCCTCCTCTGCCACCACCCCTACAGTTTAAGCAGTTTGAGTGCACAGTCATTGAAATTTTTGAATTATTAGAAAAAAGGCAGATAACTTAAAAGCCAAGAAAGTGAATATAATAACCTCTGCAAACCAGTTTGTCAGACAGCATGAAGCAGCTTCATAAAGAGAACTACCATTTCCCCTTTCGTAGGGAAGTCCTTTCAGTCATGGAAAACATTTTATGAAGAAACCTTTATTAGTCTATTTGAAAACTGGGAAGCAAGCTTAGTTGTGCCGTTGTATATATACAAATATATACATATCCTGTTTATGTATATACACAAACTTGTATATATACAAATACTGTATACAAAGCATACAAAGCATTATGGTACAAGAGAAAAGACAGCCTGAATTAGTTTGCTTGTAATGCCTAAACATACCTTTTCGCTCCTGTGCACACCATTTTTCCAGAGCTGAATATAAGTGCAGTAGTACGTGGTTCTCTTATTCTCATAATAACAGCAGCAAAACGCTGAAATGTGAGCATTGGGACTATTAGTGATACATTGCTGTAAACATTACATTAAAACCAAGTTTGCATAATCTAAGTCGCAATTTAAACTATATTGCAAAGAAATACTAATATGATTTAAGCATTTGAGTGATCCATAAGTAACTTCAAACACACACACTGAGAAACAGAGTCAGGCAGGAAGGATATTTACCATTGCAATGCTATTTTACTAAGCTCATCTCTCATTACTGTATATGCAACATATAAACAATGCTAACATTTGCAACAGAGCAATAGAGACAATCTTAAAAATAATTTTAAAAGTTCCCCCACCTCTTGAAAATTTGATGTTATAAGCAGGATAAAAGACTATCTATCTACAGATATATTATGATCTGCTTCATCTTAAAAAAACTGGACACTGGTTTTTAAAAAACTGTTACAATACCATCAAACAGAACAGCTGAGATCAAAGTTCTGTGTAAACAGAACTCACCTCACCCACCACAGTAGAAGACAGCAGCCTGGTTAGCTCTAGCTTTTCATTCCAAGTACTGTAACATCTCTGCCTCCATTTCAAAATACTCTTAAACTCTCTGAAGCAAGAGATCCTGGAAACTGATGTGGGTGGGTGCGCGTGCACACACACACACAAACCCCTGTTTGCCTGTTATATTTAACTTGGACCAGCTCACCATCCAGTCCCATAAACTGTTCTGACACAACCAAGGCAGTAGCGTGGGTTACCTAACAGCCCATTTGTCAAACGATGGCTTAAATAATACAGCCAAACAGCATCGTTCGTTGATAGATGAATGTACTGACTAAAAGTCAGGAGCATGTTGCATAACCCTTCTTTCTCTCCACTGCAGAAAACAGCTTTTCGTATTGATTATTCTAGCCTCAAGTTTTACACAGCCACCTACCCCTACCTTAAGGGTTACCATAGCATGCTTAAATTTTTGCTGCACTAATAACTTACTCACATGCACTCACTTATGTAACAGCATCACTGATATAAACTTACAGGAACAGTTATCACATATGCCTGCATGCGTACTTTAATAGAAAGAGCAGAGTTAAGGAAACCTGTAGCAAAATCCCAAATACTAAAACAAAACGAAAAAACCCACACCCCAGGAAAACTGAAGCCTTGCCAAGGCAAGTCAATTCAGTTACACAACATCTAAAATTCTATTAGAAATTGTGTCCAACTACTGTGGTTGCAAAGATAACATTTCAAGAGGAGCCACCCAAATGAAAAATGAAGTGCCATAATTTTCTTGACTCAACATTCCAGGCCCTCTGCTGCTGTTCAAAGTTTTCTGAGCTAAAAAAAATGCCATGGTTTAACAAACTTCTATTTAGAAGCAGCTGGCAACTTAGAAGTCGACCAAAAAAAAAAAAAAAAAATCAATTTCATTTTGTTGTTCCACCAAACCTCGCCATCAGGAGCAAGGAGATGGCGGGAGTACCGGGGGACAACATGCAGGAATGGAGCTCAGAGAGGAAGCAAGACTGTAAAAACCCAGTGAATACGCTGCAACCACAAGAATTCCAGGGGACCAGTCAGGTGGAGGAAGCCACGGCGTACACAGAACAACCGTGGCTCTGGCAGGAGCCCAGGAGCAGAATTCTTCCTTCCTTTCTCCTTGTTGGCAGACAGGGAACAAGACTTCAGCATCAGATATTTCACAGCAATATGAAAAAGGAACTTTCTGAGAACAATGAACAAACATGCCCATGTGAGCAGTAGCAGAGGCCAGCTCTACAACAAAAAACTTGGCCAGTGTTTAAGAACTTAACCAACATTGTTGGTTCTTACTAAATATGCTGTGTTCTTTCTAAACCTACCAAATTACAACCTGGTGTAAAACACAGCTACATGAGTATAAAAATGCTTTTTACTAGTTTGACAGAATGTTCTAAGCTTAATAAAGATTTCTTTTTTAACTACAGTATAAAACTGCATCTACAGTAGGAAGGTTTTTCAATTTATTTCAGCAAACTATACCCACAACCTGTGCCTTAGGATGAACTCTTAATACCTTTCTCTTACCTTGGGATTATATTCAGCATTTCGGGCACGAAGCGCAATAGTTTTTAGGTCAAGTTTGCAACCAAGATTCACCGTGGACACGATATTCCTGAAGATAGTTCAGAAAAATACATTAAAAAGACAATGAAGAATTCATGCACCTTCCTCATTTTTAAGCATGCTTGATTAATTTTATTTGGGGGTTTTTGTGCTTTTCTTTTAAATTTGTTTATCCAAGTGAGTTTGAATGACATCTTTCCTATTGACAGGAGCACTGAGCAGTGTTTTAGCTCAGGAACCTCCTTTTGTAGGGCAGTAGCTCCTAAGGCATTATTGCCAATTCCTCTGTATCTGCCAGCCATTATGAAAAACATCTCATGAGAAGGATCTTTATTTCAGTGTGGCAGGAAAAATTCTGGATGCTGAGAGCCCCCACTGCAATCAGGGAAGCTGCTAGAAACAGAAGAAAATGAGGTAGCAATAGTACCATCTGAAATTCTCCTTGGTATGCCCTTCAAGGAGGAAGAAGAGGTGCATGACTAAGTGGGAATGACCCAGGAAGCAAACCCATTGCCAGGTGACAGGAAAGCAGGTCTCTAGGAAGTTTAAGAGAAGTTCCTAGATGTAAGTTTCCTTGGAAACTTGTGTACTGGGAAAACCCTGAAATCTAAAGTTCCTCAATGGGAGAAAAAAAAAGAAATATGAGGAACTACTCTTCCAGTGCAAAACTCACGTTATCAACTGTTTCTCTTTGGGCCTTCTGTAAATTGCTGTAAAAGTCTCTTTAAAACTAAAGTTCCGTGAAAATACTTTCATACCTAAACCTAAAACTAGTTCGAGGGTTCTTTTTCCCTTATCACAAACTCAGCTGTAGCCATGAACTAGAAAAGGGAACACGGAATATTAAGCACAACTCAGGTCTAGCAACTAGTTTCTTCACCTCTACCCTTTTAATTCCCTTTCAGCTGTGACAGTTCCCATATTCTCCTTTAACATCTCACTAACAAAATTCTATGCACAGTGAAGTGGAGCTATTTGCTTGTCTGTGAACAGGTCACAAGTATCCAATAAATTACTAATGAGAATATGTTTCCAGGTATACGTACTTTGAAATTCCAGATTATCAACCCAGCCTACTTTAGGAGTTCATCATGCTGTAGCTATAAAGTGCATAGAGTTAAAAGTTACAGTGGTGCTAAATGAAGACATATATAACATCCTCCACTGGCGTGCTTAAAAGATGTATGGTTGACAAATCGCTAAGAAAGTGTTAATATTACCAAGTGGTTTAGTAAAGAAGCTAAGCTAAAAATAAAAGCAAAAATTACTCATCTCACTAGAGGAAACCCATAAACTCTCACAGCTTCCCTTCCAACCAAAATGCAGTACCCAGTTCATGATGTGGCTTTGGTCCTGAGTCTTTAAAGGGCTATCTGAGAAAGGACATGCTGCACTAACACACTGGGGACTCACTGTAGCTGTGGCACTATCCCAGAGCTCTCAGACGCCGGTGTTGCAGGAGTTATGGGAGTCATCGGAGTCATTGGAGAGGGGTACAGAGGTGTGGTTCCCGGTAAAGGGGCTGTGGTAAGAGTCTGCGAGTGGAAGAGCTGGGGAGTTTGACCAGATGTTCCCTGTGTCGCTTGCTGTGATGTAGATTGCTGCGCTGCTTGCTGCTGCTGCTGCTGCCGCTGCTGTTCCTCTAGGATGGACAGACTGTTGGTGCTCTGGACAGGCTGTGGTGTCAGTCCTGTGCCATACGGCATCATCGGGCTAAAAATTGGAATTCCTGGAGTCATTGCACCCTACAGAAGAAAGCATGAAAGAGAAACCACAGATGCTGATGACTCCGTTTTGGTTTTAAGAGAAAAAGCTTGCAGGAGGAGTCTATAAAAATAAATTAACATAAGTTGGTCATATAAAACCTAAGGCATATAGTAGTAACTCACTAAAAACAGAAAGCCCTTGGAAATGCCGTTCTTCCACAGAATAAAATATTACCTCTAGGGATCTGTCAGTTCTAGCATTGTTCATCTCCAGACAGCGATGCCGCTATGTTTCTCACAGTACCTTGCAAGCATGTCTCAACTTTGACCCACAATTTAACTTGCAATTGTTTGAACAAAGGCCTTGCCCATTGTACCAAATGCATTCATAGCACAGTGACAGTCCATTCTGTGTAAGTTAATCTAGAGGGCAACCACCAAAATTAAACTAGTATTTCCAACTTGTCAGTCATGTTTCAACTTAAAGGAACCCCACATCTCTGCATGTTTCTTATACCTCTGGATATGCAAATTGGTGTGTTTAAAATTCTTCTTTATACTAGTATTACTCAATACCTAGCAGAATTTTTCAGGTCTGCAAACAAAAAACCTGAAGTTACATACAAGAAACAGAAAACACTTTCACAAAGAAATTCAGATCAACATTGCATATTAAAGAAATGGTTTTTACCTGAGGAGAGGCTAAGCCTTGAGCGTAGGGTGGCAAACTGTTGTTCTGATCCATGATTCCAGTTATTTCTTTGGTGAGGCCAGAAGTATTTCCTTCAATTAATTTAAATTAATTTCAAAACATAGAGGGGTTTAACCCTTTAAAACATTCCAGCAAGGTAGCTTTTTAAGCCAAGCTGAAAGTGCTAGAAAAACATCAGCTCCAGAGAAATGTGTGTTATGAGTCTAAAATACTAATCAAAGCCTGAAAAAGAGAAAAAGTAGTACCTTGAGAATATTACCTAAACACAAAATCAAAAGCAAATCTATCAGCTGCTGAGGTAGGTAAGAGACACCCACATACAAATATAAGAACATTCACACACGCGTGCACATGCACAATCCATAAAAATAACCTTTTTTGAGCACACTCTATAGAACCTATGCAGCATGCTTCTGTTGAAGCCCCTGGCAGGTAACCTGACTCACATGAGCAGGCGTCTGCCTAACCGAACCCTCCTGCAGAAACAACTCAAGCCGTTAATGCTCACTCTACTCCAAGCTTTGCTGTAGCTTGAAAAGCACTGGTTTGGTTTTTTTTCTTAGAATTGAATTCCACTGGCTGCTAACTGACAGGCTTACCGCCACATTGCTTCTAAGTTTCTTCCTGGCAATTTTAAGGCTTAGGCTTCCAAAAATATTCTTTTTCTTCTATGAAAAAGCATCACTGGTCAAATCAGAACTAGAAAATCCACTTCCATAAAAAGAAGCACTAACACATTTCAAACAACAATCACATGCGCTTTACGAGAAAAAAAAAATACTTGAAAGCCAATTTCAGGTATACAAGTGAAATGCAGGCATGATTTATTTTATTTTACCTATACCTCCACTGCTGTATTGTGGAAATAAACAATGTAAGTGGAGAATTTAAACATTACACCTTGATATCAAATATTTTTCCATTAATTTATAGTTTTCTTAACACCTATTGCCCAGAAATAACTCAAGGTCAATTTTAGGCCAGAGAAAGACCACTTCAGAATTTGAAGAAAGCCTATTCTGCCTTTTTTTTTTTTTAAGGTATGAGAGCTCAGAATTACATTAATATTTATACTACAGCTGAAAAGGCTTGCTTTTTTCCGCTGTGGCCATAAGAGAGTATTATCTTTACCCTCACCGAAGGCATCAAACAGGGCATCCAAATTTTACAACTTGGAGATGGGGGTAAATCAGAAGCCTGAACACCACCCCACAAGAAACAAAGTCAACTCCTCGACAGCCCAGCTGTTTAGCACGAAGTCCAGGCACCAGGCATGCCCGAACCCGCAGCTAGGCCACCACCTACGCAGAGGTCCATCTTGTAACCATCTAACTGCGGCTTGCTCGCATCTCCGCTACAAACGCCGGGGAACGTTCTTGTTGAGGCACCAGCGTCCAGAGGCAAGAGACGCTCCGGAGAGGGCCCCGGCCCACCCCCGAGCCCCCTTTCAGGATCTCTCTCCTCACACCCAGCAGCGCTGCGAAAGAGGCCGTTCCAGCATGAGGCGACCCCTCCTGCTTCTCCGCGCCG